GTTGAAATTATTCTACCACCTCACTCCTGTCTGTCTTCTGATACCACACTGTATCCCACTCCTTGACACTAATTGTCAGCTCTTCTCAGCAATGCCTCCTTCACAGCCCTCAAATTTTTGGCAGATTCCTGTCTAAGAAAACACCCGCCAGAGGAATGGCAGTCTGTTTGCATGTCAGCAGGGGGTAGTGGAGGGTGATTTATGCCACTTGACCATTATGTAGTCAAATTTGACCTTTTAAAAAATAAGTTTACATTGTGCTCAAAGCCCAGCTCCACTAAGTACACACTATTACCTTCATGTATGACCTTTTCTGTCTCTCAAATGTGTTATCAGATTATTTAAATACGTTTTTTTTTCAGTATAAAATGAAGAAAAAATGTAAGGTGTTAATAAAGAGCATGAGATTTGGAGGTAAAACACCTGGTTTCTATTCCCACTTCTTTGACTTAATAGCTACAGGGCCTTGGCCAGTAAAGCTTCCTGAACCAAAGGTTCCTTATATGAAAAGGTGGGGATAATAATTATGCTACTGAGTTTGTTGAGAGAAATAAATGCTATAGGAAAATTGTTTCTATAATATTGTAAATGCTATTCAAATGTATATTATACCACTGTTTCTCTCTTCACTTTGTGACTTCCAGGATCCAAAATTAGGATGGTCAAACCACTAAACCTTATTTGAGAACAATTCATTCTGAAAAATATTAAAACTATTGTAAGAGTTTTTCATTCCAAGGTCTGGCCTATAAGTATCAAAGCTGTATTGAGCACAAATCTAGAAGCCTAGAGTTTGTAAGAAAATTATCAGATTGAAGAACCCTGAATTCATTATCTACCATATACTAGGCATTCGGAAATTTGTTGAGGGACTACTTACATTAACAGTGTTATAAAAGTTTTTAAACAGGTACAATGAGCAAGTCTGTAAGGCCCTTCTCTCCATTAACTACGCAGCCTACTGTTCTTTCTGAGCACTTTGAACCATTCTCAGTGTATTGGCCGCAGTCTGTGTGCTGATGGCTGCCCAGTGTGTAACAGTCCCTCAGCCTCCACATTCTTATTCCCATGAATCTGCTGAATATGTCCACTTGAATATTCCACCAGCGTCTAAAACCCATTGCTCCAGAACGAAGATTTTTATCTCTTCCCTCTACTCAGTTCATTGCAGACAGCATTCTACACTTCCCTCTCCTGCACGCATCATCTAATAAATCCTACTCATTTTGCCTCCTAAAGGGCTTTGTAACTCTGCTCTACTTTTCATCCATAAAATCATTACCCCGCAGCATTATCTCTCACATGCAGTATTCATCTCTCTCTCTCTAGTCTTGTTTCTTCAAGCTCATAGTATTTTATCTCAATGTCAACTCTGACTATGTTTTATCCTAGCTTAAAGATCTCACAGTGGCATCTCATATCCTACAGGTAAATTCATGTCCTTTTATATGCCTCTCCATCTGCATTCCCCTTTTACCTTCTCTTATTTTACACTTAAGTTACTACAATAAAAAATACTAAATAGTGTTTCCCCATATACACCATGTTGCTAAGCTTCTCAACAATTTTGCCCTTGATTTTTCTTCTCCCTGCCTACCCATCTTTTCACAGTGTATTTTCACTCATCTTTTAAGATTTATCTTAGACATCATATCTCACTGAAGTTTTCCCCACCATTGTAGTATGGGTTAGGTAGCCCTTCCTGTATTTACTTCTATAATAAAACTTCTAACATTGTTTAGAAATTATCCGTTTACACTTTATCCTCCCACTCTAGACTGTGCACTTATCAATCAATGGCGTAGAGTTACCCATGGGCTTTTTATCACAGCGTCTAGCACATGGAGTATTCAGTAAATGATTTCGAACCATATAAACTAAACCTATGTAGTACTTCTGTAGAGACCCAGATGAGGGAGCAAAATTTAAAGTTCTATCACTATATCTTCTACTGGTATCCTTGTTAACTCTGTTACTCATTTGCAAAATGAGGACAAGAATAGAAAAGGTAAATAATAAGCTTTTGTAGTTTTGTTTCCAAATGTATTCACATTGTCATTTAAAGGGAAGTTTGAAAATAATATCAGCATTAAAACAGAGAGACCTGATTTCTAACCTTGGGTTCCCTACTCATAAACCATGTGATCTTGAGTTTACTGACACAGATCCTCAACATCTGTGCCTTCGGAATGAGGATAATAGCACCTGCTTTGTAAGGTAGTTTTAAGAATTGAGGATAATGTACAGAAAACATACTGACGCACTCAATACTCAATTGTTCTGATTATTATGTCCATTATAACTGTGAATATAATTACAGTAAACTAAACATTTTAGTTGAAAAGTGAGTTAGTACTTGTAAAGCACTTAGAACAGTACTTTACAAGTATGTGCATGTGTATATTTTAGTAAGTGTCTAAAATATATATGAATTTATTTTATAAAAGAAATGAAACTTTAAATTCCTATTTTATAAGCTATAAACTCTGAAAAAAACATTTTTAATTGACAGTTCTATACTTCTGAAATAAACTCAATTTGAAAGAATTTTACATCTGCAGTTGAGACTATTAAAGCATTATTAGTTACTTTAACAACACATTCTTGGTGAATGGAATAATGAATAAGTGAATGAATGAATGAAAATGTGGTCTATCTAAGTACTTGGTGAACATTAAGCTGTAATGATAGCTATAGACAGTCAAGAAGGGTCCCATCTGACAGCAATGATTAGTTTTTCAATTTGTACTAATGCTATTTTCACCTTGTTTTGAATACAAAAACTAATTGAAAGTTCCAAAAAGTCTAAGGTATCTCTTGCTTTATTGCAGTGAATTCTGTTGTTCTTGTTTGGGTTTTGGATTTGGATTTGGATGTGTGTTTGTGTGTGAAAGCCTCTGCCAAGAGAGGTTGGATTTTGATAGAATAGGATGTTTAGGATTTATTTCATATTTCATAAATGGAGGTCACCTGAGAGAGTTTATGTGTGGGCCTGAGAGAGAGAGAGAGAATGAGAGAGAAGAGCTTATGACCATGAAGAATGAAGGTGTCTTATCTCATTTATGAAGGATTTAAATGATTAATTGGCAATTAGCCTAAAAGAAGATATTCAAAAATATGTTAAGGATCCTTTGGTGGGGAACTGAATGACCATCAGTAATTCATTATTCTATTACTATCTTTTAATTTAAGATCTAGAGTAGTATTTGGCTACACAATCCAATTCACAAACAGCACAAAATATTCTGCATTGAGATTTTAGCATCATTGGATGATTGGTGCTTCACAAAGAATTCTCTTCCAAGGTATTTTACTTCGTAAAATAAAGGCTACTCAATCTGATTTGTTTTGATGCTTTACCTCCTTTAACAAAGTCTTTAAGTTCTTGTTTTCTCTTCTTTTTGGCCTACATCTAAAGTTACTTGTGAACATACTTCTCCCCCACACCCAAACCCCACTATTCTGTGAGATCTGTGAGGCAAGACCTGTGGATTTTTTATCTCTATATCTGCAGAACAAAGCCCATTACCTAGAATTTAATAGATGTCAACTAAGGTCCACCGAATAAGTTAATCAATTACATCCACTTGGCTTGATGTAATGTGCTGTTTTCATTCACATGTTAAATACTTTTAACATCTTAAAAGAGAAAAAATAAATAAATAAAAGAAAAGCCTCTACCCCAGGATAATAATGATCTTGATTTTGTTACATGGCATTTTATTTTATGTTACTTCTGAGATAGCAGGAAAAGAAACTAAAAAGATTGCAACTATATCTGGGAAAACAAGTCTTACAATAGTAACTAACTTTACCATTGCCTATTGAATACTAGGAACATGGATGGAGTGGTACCATATCAGGCTCCAGTTTTATAAAGGAAAAGGTAATAAAACCTACAGGGTTTGGGGTCCCTGAAATTCTCTACTGATCAGGCTGTGACTTTGGTGAAGTCAGTTAAGTAAGCCTCAGTTTCTTCATTTGGCAAATGGGAATAACAATGCCTCTTGACCTACCCTATAGATTTAAAACAATTAGTAAATGAGAGGATGTCTATGAAAGCGTGTTGGCTCGGAAAACTGTCATTGAAGTATAAGGACTCATCGTGATGCACCATATGGCAGACTAATGCTGGAAATTTCTTAACTTATTCTAGATGAAACATCTAGTATCTTCCAGGAGGGGTGAACTGCCAATTCTGATACAAAAGCTGATTGAAGCACGGGCCAAAACATAGGCAACCCAATGCTGACTGTCAAACTTCTGCCTAATGGTTACAGAGACCTCTTAAATCCAAGCAACATGTCTTCTCTCTTTTGGTACCGCCAGTGTCTAATAAAATATTCAGAAAGAGTAACACTAATTGAAGGTTTGTTAATGAGAAGTATTAGTTTAAAAAAACAAAAACTGATAACAGAAGGCAACATATTATAAGGGCTAAACTGTGGATTCTAAACTTGGACTCCGTGTGTTCAAAACCCAGTCCAATCACTTAACGTGTGTCTTTCGTCAATTTACTTAATCCTTACAATCTTCTGTTTCTTTATCAGTAAAACAGAAATAATACTAACAGATCCTTTGCCAAAGGGCTATTGCCAGGATTAAATTTAGATGAGGTTCTAGTACAGTGTTTGACTCATGGTAAGCACTAAATAAATCTTAATTTATTGATTGATATTCACCTTTTTTTTTTAGATACTAGGAATTGCATTCCTTTTACCATTGACTATTAAGTGTGATGAATTCACAAATTAGCAGGCAATGTAAAAGGGTGGATTGCATGTGATTTAACCAAAAAGTAACAAAATTGTCCCCAGTGTTATCCATATACTATCAGAGTCATCCAATAAGTATCACAGGCCAGCTATTGCATTGAGAAGCAGGAACCCCTGTTTTGGCATGGGGTGACCCTCTCTGCAGCCACGGCTCTTCCTCAGCCTGGCAGTTAAGCACACAATCATGTCTTTCTGTTTGCTCCTGTCCTTGTTCACACTTACCAGGTACAAAGACAGGAGACTGGCCCAGCATAAGTCGGAAATAGAGTGTTTCACCCCCAAAGGGAGTATGGGGAATGGTGGGAGAGCAACAATGAGCAGGTAAGCAAACTGTGAGTGGCCTGAGGTGCTGTGAAATACATGTATGCAAGCTGGAGGAACAGGTGGCTCCCTGGTCTGGGTCCTTGCTCAACTGTGCATCTCATACAGTGTGTCCAACCTGGGCCACCACTGGTTTTCTGTGTGTGTTCGATTTGCAAAACCCATGCCATCCTCATGTGAAGTAATGGGAGCCTCCTGTCCCAGGTGCTGCTGTTTCCCAGGGTTGTGCGCTTTGCATGTCTGAAGGCTTAGCTCACAGCCAGTCCTCCCCTGGGTTTTAGCTTATCAGTCAAATGGTTCTGGAGTTTGCAAAGTGGAGGAGATTGGAGGAAATTCACATTCCAGGACTATCCAATCACTTAATAAAACAAATGTAAAAACTTAGGACTGGTTTTCAGGGAAGGACTGCAATGGAGGGAAGACTCCATCCAGCTCCTGACCCTGGACAAGCCTGGAAATTAATCTGATTTACTTTGAATGCAACATCATCTCACAGCCAAGGGCAAATGCCATGCCAAACAGTGGACTGTAGAGGCAACAGGCCTTTCTTGAACTGAAATCAGGAAAGCTAATCCTCCTCTAGCTACCATAGCTTTGCAGCTCCTTTACTTTCTTGTGTTTGGTGAACACTCTCTGTCGCTGCTCTGTGCATGTTCCTTCATACTAGGCACTCCCAAATGAGTTGTACCCAGTAAACTGGGATATTAGGAACTATAAGCATCAACTGAGCTGTGTTGCATGAAATGAACGTGCTTTATTGCATGGGACTGGGTTTCAAGAAAAGGGCTCTGGAGACAAAGACAGTCAAGATGGTTATTTAACAGTTCCAGAATGCTGGAGGAAACTTGAGTTGAGTAATAACTCACCATGAGCTAACTCTCCACTTCTTATCTGTTGTTGGCATTTCCCAATCCATCTGTGGTACAGAGATGTGGAAGGGAAACTTGCAAACCAGACTGAATTAGAGAAAAGGAGAAGTCCAGGAAGTAGAGTGTGTACATATGTGTGTTCATGTGTTGAAAGCAAAGCTTGAGACCCAGTTGCATAATAGAAGATAATGCCTTTGAATCCCATTGAAATTTTTACCTCCCAAAATTATGTTTGCTTCCTCAGTGGTGGGCTCCTTCCTGTTTTCACAATAATGATTAACTTTTTCCAAGGGCCAGTGCATTGCAGAATTCTGGGGCCATTCACATTGCAGTCTGTGAAAATGGTGTCAGGAACTGTGCAGTGTACAGCCTAAGCTACCATTCATAGCAGCCCTGACCAAGAGCTTGGCCAACTTTGCCATGGCTCCCAGAGACAAGGCAATGGAGCGTGTGTACATGTGTAGGCATGTATGTGTACCCATTGGTGTATCTGATGGCTTTATGCCCACATTCCCTTTATACATGATCTTTGAATCTCAGTTTGTCTGGAAGATGAGCCTCAGTGTATCATTTTATGGTAGTAACTCAACACACTGCAATGGGGCTCCTGGTTTCCTTCCACTTAGACAAAATGCCATAATTCCTATTCTTGAAAACTAGTCAAACAGCACAGGAGCAAGCTGAAAGTGACGGCATCAAATGAGGGCTCAAGGGATCTGTTCAGAATGAGTTCTGATTTAAGGTCAAAAGTTGGAGTTCCCAAATCTAATAAACTTGGATGCCTATCAAACATACTAGGCAAAATCTTGGGCAATACAATCTAAGAATCTGTTGTAGAACAAGTTTCCCAGGCCATTCCAATCTTCCCAGTCCATAAGCTTATTCTTTTGAAATAATCTATTTGTCTAGGAGATGATATGAAGCTGTTCATGGCAAGCATTAGGTCCCAACTATGCCATGCAATGTTCTTAGGAGTGTTTAGTCAATGCTTAGGACTCTCAGATCTGATCAGCCCAGAGATTAGATCTGCTCAAACCTGCATGATTGAGAAGGGGGAAGGGGGGCACAGAAAATAAGGGGACCCCAGATCAAACAGACCAAGCTTCGGTGGATGAAGTCCAGATCTACAGAGGTATCCATCCACTCGATGTATCTTCTCCAGGAACAGTCCAAGTTTCTCTACAACAGCAAGATGCCACTTAACTTTTGTTTTCTCATTTTTTTGGATATAAGCAAGGTAATGACAATGCTTGTTACATTGATAATGTCCTGGAGCAGAGGAGAATAGCCCATGCTAAAAGGAAGAAAATTCTGTTGGAGTAACAACCTCAGCCTCACAGATAAGCAGGGTTAATTGGGAAGAAATGATCTCCCCTTCGTAATTTCTCTTCCTTCTCATTTCTTTAGTACTAAATAAAAACTGACAGAGAAGGAGAGAGAGGTGTCCTTCAGTGCTCTGAGAAATCTTTCCCTTAGTCTGGAGACACACAAAAAGATAGGCCAAAACTCACAAGGCCTTTGTATCTTTTTTTCCAGCTTCATATTTGTTCACATAAATAAACACATATGCACACATATAACATTAATCCAGGAGAAATAAGTTTAAAATGAACTTTAAGAGAAAAGATGTCAGAAAGAAGAAAACTGTCTTTTAAAAAGTTCTAGGTAAGGGAGTGGAGTAGTTAATTCCAATTTTCCTGCACTCAGATTGAATGGAAGGGCTGGTAAGAGGATACCTGTATGTATATAAGACTTTTATAGGTACTTTTAGTATCAGCTGATAGGGCCTTCTCTCTTATCCACCTCCCCTCCTCCCCCTGTTGCTTCCCAGAGTCACAGTCAAGCTTCACATTTACTCTGCAAACATCTGGGCTGGTTCTGTGGCCATTACCGAACAACCAGTCCCAAGGAAGGGCTAAGGGAAGATCAAACAACCACAGAAAACAAAAGTGTTGCTTTGTACCTCATTTGCCTATGTTTACGATGATGAAACTGTAGAATGAATGGACAGGGCTCTGTGAATTCACGTCTGGGGTGATTATTCCAGAACCGAGCTGCCTGGTAGGGAGAGAAAGCGTTTTACAATGCTTGTAGTCTCAGCAGAGCAGTACACTACTATCTTATCTTTAACTAATCCCTCACCCCTGCCCCGCTCCAGCACCCCCACACTGGGAAAGGAACGAGAACGTTAAAGGTACTCATAACACTCTTGTCTCCTGAAATATTATGTCACTGTTTTCCCTTTTTGTGAACAGTTGTTTTTTTTCCCTCTGTCTGAATATAGTGTAACTTGTCATCTTTTCACATTTTCACAGTGGACAGTCTAAGTGTCTTTCAGAGCAGAATCCTCCTGATTACAGGAGAAGTGAAAGAGAGTCCTAAACAGGGAGGTGCTCTAAGAACCGGAAACTCTCTAAGCCCTGTTACTTGTTACCCTGTGAGTTCATACTGAGGTGGTCCACCCTCAGGAATGACTAAAACCTCAACAATGAATGTCATTATCGCCTGTCTCAGCAGGGGATGCCAATGCAGTACTTGTTGGAGTCCACATTCTGATGTGCTCGTGTTGTCCCCATAAAGGAGAAGCATAGACATTCTGAGCCTCCCAGTCTCCCTTTGAGCAAGAGATTCCTTAGTCAAATAAAATAGGTAGACCTGTAGCCCCCTCCCCCCCAGGGGTAGAAGAAAGAAGTGTTGTATGGAGTTACCTTTATGATGAGCAAAAAGAGAATTTTTATTGTTGCTATTTCATGATATCAGTTATGTGAAGTATTAACTTCCAATCAGCTGAGTAACTGATTTTCACCTAGTATGTGCAGCATCTAATTTTAGTAGGTATACATGTTTAATAAAGCCTTAGAGTGGGGGCTGGCCAGTTAGCTCAGTTGGATACAGCACAGCCTTGTAACACCAAGGTCAAGGGTTCAGATCCCCATAGCAATCAGCTGCCAAAGAACAAACAAAAGAACACATCAGAATTGATCAAAGATGAAAGTAGACGTCCCCAGAGCCCTCCTCTCCACCTACTCCCCTATTTATAAAAAAAAAAAGAAAAAGCCTTACAGAATCTCATAATAGCAATGTCATAATACTCATCATTAAATTAGTAGAACCTCAGAGTTGAAAGGTCGTCCCAATATGTAATGTCTGTGTTAGGACTGTTTTGCCTTTTATATATTCAATTATCTCTTTCTTCATGTAAAGCTCATTTATTAAGCGCCTACTATAAGCCAAGCACTTAAAGACTGTGGATATAAATGGATGACCAAGACATGACTAATGCCCTTGAAAATCTATAGTCTATTGGGAAACAGAATCAGAAAAAAGATAATCGCAATGTCCTATACCACAGGACAGTTTATGCCTCAGATTAACCCCTTATTTCATATTATAAACTATAGTTTATACCAGTACATGTACAGTAAAGAGTAATAGAAAACAATAATAGCAAATCTTAATTGAGTTTTCCGAAAGCACTAGGCATACAGTTATATAAAATTCAGAGTCCATAGAAGAGAAAGATTCTGCCTTTCCAGTAGAGTAGAGGCCAGCTAGTTGCTTAACTGTAGACTAGGATTCTGCAGTCGTCTTCACTTCATTCCTCCCCAAAGTCAAACCCAAATTACTATTCTAACATATTGAGAGATGTTCTAAAAAACAAGAATAATAATTACTACATTACTACCATTATGCTAATTACTGCAAATCAGCCACTATATCAGTCCCTTCACATAAGTTATGCATTAAATTCCTCCAAGAACATATAAGGAAGGTATTTTTCCTTTCCATGGTGGAGATGAGTAAAATGAGGCTCAGGGATATGAAATAACTAGTACAGTAAGCAATTTCATGAAAATTCTGAAATCGAAGAGACCTTAAAACCTGCTCTGGCACTACTAGCCAGAGTGCAACTTTCAGGTGCCATTTTAACTCTTTAGTATCCATTTTCTGTAAAATGAAAATGATAATATAACACTTTTCTGATGATGAAGCTGTGAAAATTAAGTGAGATCATGAAAGTACAGCACTTAGCATACTGCCTGATACACAGCAGGCATTCAGTAAATTTTAGTTAGTACTAGTATTACCTAAGGCTACCTAGCCTAGAAAGTTCTTTTTTGTCTTGCCTTT